CAACCTGGATCAACTTCCAATCGGAAAACGTTCCAGAAACGTACTCATGCAAGAATGCTGGTTGAACTTTTGTATGCCGGTCGAACCCTTTCTCAAGTAGGTTGAGTTGTGGTAGATTGAAAAATGAGTGGTGATGTAGTAACCAAAGCGGAACTTAGCTAAAGTTGAAAGGCACAGTCAACTAGGTTGTGGAGATCTCCTTAGTTTCTACAGGCGGTTGATCTGATAAATCCTTTCTCAGAAAATTCTGCAAACGACCTCCCTACAGGTATAATCTGAAGGCAATTTTGCCGATAAATACAACAGTTCCTTGCCGAGAAACGCAGTTTCTGATAATGGAGGGTACACATAGATATCTTGAACTGTCTTCAGCCTGTACCCGAAAACACGGGTTTGCCTTTTTCATCACAATAACCTGTCCGCGTGTTGCGACGTAGTCTCAAGCAAGCTAGCATTCAGTGTCCCTGTGTACTGAGACACGGAATCCCCGTTTATAGGCTCGGAACAGCCTAGACTTGTCACACTCAAATATCTTTCTAGCCGCAAAACAAGAGGCTACATACATAAGGATACGAGGTCAAGCCGCCTTTACCAAGGTCACAGTTTCTATCGTGTCGTCCTACTACCAAGATATCCGGAAGGTGAAAAAGCTTCCAAGAAGGACCTTCATGGAGGACATCGATCGGCTAAACTGCCTGTTTCCAGCACGTACCGGGACGCCAGAAGTTTAGAAACCTGCATATCACTTCATTGTTTAAACACACGAGTGAGCATCATGCCCACCAAGAATCTATAGAGTAAACCATGAAAAAAGTCCGTGAACAAAGCCCGTGAAACGAACAATCCTCAACTATGATCTATTGAGCACTGTGCCAGCGAAATTTCAGTTCGTGCATGTTTATAGAACCACACTTCGTCGTAATAACTTTCTTAGTCCTTCTCGTGATTCCACTAAAACCAGTCTATGCTACATACATCAGTCTTTCGGGAGGTGCTTGTAACAAGTGATCATTTCCAGCATCTATGAATCTGTTTAAAAACCCACGAGAGCCATCACTGACGAGTTCGGCTGCCTAACCCACAAAATCTTAAGACTCCTGGAAGATACAAGCAAACGTGTCCGAGGCTGTTTCCTACACTTCTGCTATCACATATCGAGCTTCACTATTCGGCAGCCTTCGAGGGTCGATATGCATGGACTTCTGTCACCCTTATATGATAACCTTACTACTTGTAAGTAGTCTGTACGGACTTGTGGTGAAAGACCGACCATTAATACAACTGGATATAGTAACTAAAAAGAAACTGTTCTGAAAACTTTTTTTCCTAGACTTTACACCGGCGGTCAATATTCCCACAAGTCCAAGGACGACAGTGGGGTCTGAGTTGAGACTTTCAACAGGCTGTCCCTGCAACCTTTTCCTAAATGTAAAACATTTTTTTGATTTGGATCCCACCAGGTGCGCATTTCGATACGATCGACCATCGAATGATTTATAAATAGTCTCTCCCTCAGTAATGGTTGGCCTTAAGCATATCTGAATAGCACTGAATAACTCAGTAAGATTAGCCTTCAGTTTAACAGGGCATGGTCGCACAAGACACGTTTTTCCCAAACTCTCTTATTGGGCGGATGACCACCCCGATTTCATTTCGGTTTGGTAACTAGGCCTTCTGCTCTTCCCCTGGCCTTATCCACAGTCATGTCATATTCAGTTTCATAGGCTTCTGGGAAGCTGATTTCGCTGTCATTGAAAGCCAGATTCAGACTGTCAGTAAGCGATAAAAAAGCCTGGATAAATCAAGTCCCGTACAGAGAGCTCTAACACAACCCGCATGACCCTTCTCATCATTTGTGCTCTGGACTAAACAACTGCTTTGCGGATATCCATTAANTAGCCTTCAGTTTAACAGGGCATGGTCGCACAAGACACGTTTTTCCCAAACTCTCTTATTGGGCGGATGACCACCCCGATTTCATTTCGGTTTGGTAACTAGGCCTTCTGCTCTTCCCCTGGCCTTATCCACAATAATGTCATATTCAGTTTCATAGGCTTCTTGGAAGCTGATTTCGCTGTCATTGAAAGCCAGATTCAGACTGTCAGTAAGCGATAAAAAAGCCTGGATAAATCAAGTCCTGTACAGAGAGCTCTAACACAACCCGCATGACCCTTCTCATCATTTGTGCTCTGGACTAAACAACTGCTTTGCGGATATCCATTAATGAAACGCCGGCGTTTTTTGTAGACGAGAAAGCCCGCTTCCTTGTCCCATGGTTGGCTCGAACTCCTGGTGTTGGCCGCGTGGTGAAGAGTTTCCATATTTTTATGATTATCGGTACTTTCAAAATAGGAGCAACGCAAATTCAAAAAGTGGCCAGCGAGAACGGATAAACACATTCCGTTCACCTGTCTTCGTTGATCTGGCCAAATACCCGTCATGATTTTTGTAGAACGAGCTTTCCGATAGCAACAGATCGGTGAAATAATTTCCCGCGAAGTCAACTACATCGTGGTTTCTCTACAAACTCCCTAATAACTGATCCACTTACAGACAATAAGCTTCATGGAACGATCGATCCCGCCAGCGGCTGCCGTAGAGGGCTTCTACAGTAAAAGTCACGCGACGAATCAACGTTGATCTTAAAGCGACCAATGACGATCTAAATGAGCAGATGCATGCGCAAAGTCGGAGGATAGTTAACCAACTTGGTCAATGATGGTGGATCGCCAAAAAATGACACGATACAGATCGGGAAATAGCAGCCAAAGAGGTGGCACTCGTCAAAAAGAACCCATGCATATTGTCAAGCCCAGCTGGGAAGCAGAACTTGGAACATCTGGCCCCATCTTGCTCACTTGATGGACACCGGTCACTAGAGTGACACAAAATCGGTAATATGCCCGGTTTCACAATACAAGTCAAAAGAGTGGAGACAACGCCGTTTAGCCACCGAAAAGGACATAGTCACACGCTCGCTCGGTACTCAAGAGAATCATGTACGGGTCCCGGTCTGACTCAATGGACGGAAATTTAGGGCAAACGTGACTCGAATATGCTAACACCTTTATAAAATGAATAGTAACCCTGTCAAGAACATGGCTTTTTCTCTCAAACTTATTGACCACCTCATACACATACCCGATTGTCCAAGAGAATTTTACAAGTGCGCATGCTTCAAATGACTAATTGTCACCTAATTCTGTGTTCCGACACTATTTCGTAAGGTTTTCTGGCCTCAATCCGTCCAGTCTTATCGTTTAATACTAAGGTAAGTCGTGTCCAGAAGAACTTGTTGGTGTTCGGCGGTCACACAGAATCAGTTCTGGCAACATCACTGGTTTTTGCTACACAAACATCCGGTAAATCTTCCAAATAGACCTTCCGACGTTTCCCCTTGTCCGATAGAGGAAGAAATTAGCTCTGAAATGAACCACTGTTTGGTTCTAAGCCCTGGGATTATATCTCGACCGAGGCGCAAAGGAACGACCACTTGCTAGAAAGTTACTCTCTAGAAAAGGATATATCCTCCTTGAGAGTACTGCGTGTATAACACGATGCAGAGGAATGCGACCAACAAACATATATTGGAAATAAACAGACGTGCACGGTGATAGAAAACAATTCGTTCTGAACACGGCGTAGCATCAAATGATGACAGCACATTCGTCCGGGAAACACAGTTGAAATCGACTTGAGTCATTCCTAATATAAGTAAACAGTAGCGCGAACCGTGCTGCCGGATTTAGGGTTCGCCAGACATCCCTTCGACAGATCACACACACTTTTGTATATAGAACCAGTTACCTTCACTCTTGGTATAGTGCAGCCCCTTCCGAAGGCAGTGCACCCTCACACACACTTTTGTATATAGAACCAGTTGCCTTCACTCTTGGTACAGTGCAGCCCCTTCAGAAGAAAGGCAGTGCACCTTCCATTAGGACTGGGCCAGACGAAACACCCAACGACACATCGCACACTGAGGGATCAGTCTTTCGGTGGGTACCGTTGGTAATACCTTCAACCCACCGCTACGCACCACTACGTTCCCTAACAACACACTGATGATGTCACCTCGATTGGTGGTGAAACGTTTGCAATTAAATCGCCCAACTCAGCGAATAAGCCAACGACCATCTACGCTACCGACATTTTCCTCTGTGCCCTCCGTCTACCAGTTCTCTGTAGGTGGTCGTGCAAGGCAATAGTGGGCTTTGAATTATCAACAGGCCGTCCTCGACTATCTCCGTGATGTAGGCGAACTTGGACGGCCTTCTTGAGGTGTTGTATCCTTGCTATTCTGCAGTCTCGTGAAATTAAATATGTTCTATATATTCTAAGCCAACTGACTCAAACGGAATGACTGCAAATGGCCAAGTTTGAGGAGCCTTTATAGAGTGGAAAGAGGTGAACAGGTAGTCGGTGGTAGTCCTTGTTCAGTTGGAGGACCAGCCAGTCAAGATAGCAGTCAGCGCATTATGGATGTAGGCCGCTGCTTTCACGGAGTGAACTTCACCCAGACTGACCTTACATTGTCATTGACGACCCGGATAATTATCTGTTGGTTTCTTCACTGAGTTCACCATCGAGTGCTTAATGTCCTGGTAGGATTTAACCACTAGGTTGTCAGCAGCACGACTGGCTTGATGATCTGATATGAATGAATCTCAGCGGGAAAAAACCACCGTTACAACCAACGTTTCCCTTATTAGCATGTGGAAAACTGGGGGCGGGATGACAGTGGTTAGAGCACGAATTTACTGACAGGAAGGTCCGTGGTTCGAACCCGACCTCTGTCTCTCTATTTCCCCTATCGAGACTTGGGTAACTAGCAGTATCCACGCTCTCATGCTTCTTTTGGGTGGCATGACGGTTAGGCACCGAAAGGGTGCTTCAGCCGAACCATGTGAAAAAGTATCTAACCCTAGGAAGTCTGAGTGTCTGTCAGCAGGGAGCGATGGTCACACTATACACTATTCCTGGCAAAAAGTGCAAAGAACTTGGTCACAACTAGGCACGTTTATTCACGAAATACACACGTGAACAATCAAAGACGGACAAAAGACGACATTAAACAAAGGCAAAACAAAATTCGTGAACAATCAAAGACGGACAAAAGACGACAGTAAACAAAGGCAAACAAAGATAAGCGAAAATAAAAACCACTGAGGTTGTCGGACAAGCGGAATGGAAGGAAAGGGCCAACTCGAGAGATCTAGGTGAATATGGTAACAACAACACGGCGAAAGGAATGAAAGCCGGACTGGAAGAACTAGGCAATCTCAAGATTTGGTTTTCCAGCCCTAACTGACGCACAGAACATGGAGACCACGCGAAGCGGCTGGCGAATCGAGGCAATCCAAGAAATTTGTCGAAGTCGTGACAAATAGTTAACCAGCGCAGGATACTCAGCAGATTGATCTGGTTTGTATTCAGTCACAGACTCAGGAGGTTGACCATTCAGTTGACACAAAATCACTTCTAATCGATCAATCATAGGGAAGAGAACCAAGTCAGCAAGACTGAGTTGGTCACCTGTTAGGTAAGATGAAATAATAAGTTTATTAGACAACGCAGTGGGAAACAATAGTTGGTAGCAATGTTCACTTGTTATGCCCCAACTTACAAACCCTACCCCAATTCAAACATGACACTTGGGGAAGTAGGTTGTAGTGTGGTCTGGTAAACAGATTGTGAAATTTCCAAGCTCTCTACCTATTTGGTGCGGTCCAAACATAATAGTCGTGCACCAGTCACAACTTGTGTGCTATGCGTGGAAAATGCGCTGTGAGTGGTTTGTAGATGTTCATTCATAACTATCAGGAAGGTCAGATTGCTGAAAGTAACCAAAGAATGTCCGGGATCTACTGAGACTCTCAACTCCACTAGACGCCGACCAGACAGCCCTGAATCGAAGCCAGAAAGCACGAGACCGCATTGGATCAAGATTAGATAACGCCCCCTCAATATGAAACGCCAGACAACCTTGTATCAAAGCCAGACAGCGTGAAACAGCGTTGGACCAAGGTCAGACAGTGCTCCTCAATAAGAATAGCTTGAGGTCGTTGTACCTTCGCACTCGCTCGCTTGTTCGCAACAAAGCTGTAGTGTTTCTTGCCGGCGAGTCTTTACGTCACTAGGCACTGGAGCGGAGACAGCAGATATCACCACAGCACACCATCATCACAAACGACAGCAATATACTACTAATAAACAGTGGTCCACCAGGACCTATGCAGCTGCCCAGATATACGAACTTATTTACCCCATCGACCTGTTCATCTGCAAACATGCCTTTTTTGATTTGATCCTATCGAGTCTTGCGTTAGCCCTTTACACTTTACAGATGTGAAGCGTATGCCGAACTATGCAGCAGATGCCTACGCAATGGAGACGGTAGATGATACAATTGATGGATCAATAAAGAGTTCAGTGGATTTTCATTGAACAGATCAGGAGGTGAAGCTATGTACTGAGGTCAAAAGCGCGCCATTGAGCGCGCGACTAGGCCACATCTGGCAATGTCTCTAACGTTTATATGTCCCTTCTCAGGGACCCCATCAACGCAGCTGAGTTTGCTGATAATGGCTTTCATACTTTGCTCGCATGTCATTCATTGACCTTCCCATGCTAGTTTCCGAAATTCGCGTGGTTGCGTGAAAAGAACCCTTAGAGGAAATAGGTGAACTTGCATACGGAGCACGTGACCAAGCCAGAGCAACCTATGGAGTTCATCTATAGTGGGTGAGTTATTTCTTTCGAAGATCATTCGACGTACTTCGGCATTAATGGTCCGGTGTTTCCATCAGACTTGGGAAATCCTTCGGACACATCGAAAGCCGATCACTGAAAGTTTTGGGATGCCCTCGGCGCGTCCAGGCGAGGTTTCTGGCTCATATAACAATATGAAGCGCAACGCAGGATTGAAAACTCGACCCTTGACGCATAAGCTGATGTTGCGCCTACACCAAAGGTTAGGCAGGTTCACAAAAGATACTCTGGACTTCCCGACCAATACCTCACGAGTTAACTCAGAAAAAAAGTTGCAAACCGAAGCATCCTCGCCTTGCTTCAAAACATGTAGCGAAAGTGACCTTGTAACAAACTACTAATCCCTAATCCGACAGATAGATTTACGAGGCGTCATCACCATCGAGAACATGACGTCAATGTTCAACACTGATGCTTCACTGATGTACGAGGCAAGGCGTCACATATACCCCAATAATATTAGCGCTCCGTTCTGTCCCTCTGTTACGATCATACGTGGCTTCAAGTTGGAAAAGTACGAAGAAAGCTGTTGTGGACGTTGACCAAGAAACAATTGCAGAGCGCTATGGAACAACATACCAGCGAAGTAGTCCTTCTTCAACACGGTACACAAGGCCTCACACGCTTCGCGAAAGGCAGCCGCAGTTTGTTCATCAAACGACGGTTTGAACAGGATGGTGTGCGCTGGTTTGAAGAACTAGAAAGGAACGAAAGAAATGGAGAGAATTCGGATGCGAAGCTCACGCATTTCGTGTCAGTTCGCTTGTCGTATCAAAAAGTACACTACTACTGGTTGTGGTTTCTGGATTTCAGTGTTAAAAACACACCTGCCTTAATGATCATGTGATTGATGGTGACGGATGGTGATAGGTGAGCTTTTGACGAAACGGATCGGAAAATAATCGGTACTCGCATCCAAGGGAGTACACCTTTTGATGAAAAGAATCACAATGTGATCTGCAGCTTGCGGAACTGCGAGTAACTGTTTAAGGAGACGTGTTTCGAGGAGTGCGATAGTTACAGACTTGTGAACAAACAAAAGCGAGTCATCGTTGTGGCCAAAGTAGGTGCAATCTTACAGATTGAGTCATATTCGTGACCGAAAGTCGTAAACCCAGGGCGCCATGGATTAGCCGCTCTCCAACGGATGACAAAAAACTGAAGGCCCATGCGTAAACAAAAGGGAACATTCAAAATGCAGCAAGAAAGAGGTGAGTTACAAACCTACGAGAAATGGCTCCCATTCTACACGAACGTCTACCCTCGAAGGATAGGTGTGATTCGTGACTGAAGTTGGAAGCGCTGTCATATAGAATGATGCTCACTGGCCAGAATGCACGTTAGTTTGAAGTTGTACTTCCTAAAATAGACTGAGGGTGACAAAGGAGTCACAGTTAGCTAGTAGTCGCTCAGTTGCACAGTTTTCGAGCGATAATAATATAATGGAAGCTAGAAACTAGCCGGTTGGGGAACTGGTGAGCGGTAGGCCCATTAGCAACTATCTTCTCACGGCGCGGTTACACTGAAGCGAAACCCTCCAGTTACTTAGGCAGTCAAGCGAGCGGTTAGTGCAGATAGTCGAGTGATCTCTTGTAGAAAGTTGGGAATATATGCAGTCGTACGTTTCTCACTACAGGAAACGATTAGAGCAAAAACAGCAACCAGAAAACTTTTCAGAATGGAAAAGCGAAAGGTGCATCGGATGCAATACGAACCACATCCTAAGTAATACCTAAGGTAACCGTAATTTAACAGGTTACCACAGGATATCGACTGTCGAACATCAGCAAGGGAAAGAATAAAAGTGCTCCTGGTGAAATGGCCCGTGTATGGCTCCGGAGAAAAGAAACGAACGTAACAAGAAAACAGTGACTCTCGATAACACAGTACCATGGACACCAATCTGCTTCGTTTAGCGCGTGTAAAAGTCACAAGGGTCCGTAGAGTTCTCAATAAGCGTTCAGCTGTATCACCCTTTTAGTGCCTAACTGCCATAACACCCGAAGGAGGTACGACGGCTGGTATACTGCCAAGCTGCCCAAGCCTAGACAAGTCGAGTCGAGAGACGGAGGTCGGGTTCGAACCACGGACCTTCCGGTCAAGGGACGTTGGTTGTAACTGAGCCATCTTCCCCCCCCCCCACCTTGATTCGAAAGCTCCCACCTACTTTCCACACTTCATGCCTCCAACTTTTCGGAATGTGCTTTTTTGTGTACGTATCCTACGGAACAGAGATCGCCATGCGTTAGAATATTTTTCAGCCACGGACCAGTTTTTCCCGTCGCTTCATGAACATAGCTTCACGCTTCGGCGCACCCGTTGGCCGAGTGCTGCCACGCGAACTTTTTTGCAGTTGAAATGTACACCCAATGTCCAACTTACACAACGCGCTTCTAGATTACTGATTAATGGACACTGTTCACATGAAACAGTCAACACTGCTTCAATCGTCTGAAAAGAATTTGTCTGGGAATCAAATCAAAACGCTCCGCTCTTTGAGGCTAATTGATACTGGGGTGGATATGTAGTGAAAGGAAGATGGCGTTCTCTGCGGAGTTATTTATTAGAAAATGCCAATTGAACAGTTACAGACAATTGGACCGGGAAGTAAAACTCTCGTATGCATCTTGTTTACAAAAACTGAATATCCATCTTCTCTTTGGACACGTCTTCCTGAACTTTTCTGGATATTCATAAGCTGTTGCTCAAATCCAAGCAAACGCTACACAGCGACTCCACAAATTCCGCAATAGATCTCACTTTTCAAGAGACGCAAAGTAGATTTACAAGAAAACATACTACTTGCATGCCTCCCCCATCAGTAGTATCACCGTTACAGTGGTATACGACGTCCACAGATAAACTGGTTAGAAAGCTGTGCGATGAAAGCCTATGTTTAGCCGCTTTGCGCCTCTAAAACCAAGATGTGATCGACTATTCACCATCATCAACAGCACAACATCAGTGTGTAGAGTTCTCAATAAGCGTTCAGCTGTATCACCCTTTTAGTGCCTAACTGCCATAACACCCGAAGGAGGTACGACGGCTGGTATACTGCCAAGCTGCCCAAGCCTAGACAGAGGAAGTCGAGAGACGGAGGTCGGGTTCGAACCACGGACCTTCCGGTCAAGGGACGTTGGTTGTAACTGAGCCATCTTCCCCCCCCCCACCTTGATTCGAAAGCTCCCACCTACTTTCCACACTTCATGCCTCCAACTTTTCGGAATGTGCTTTTTTGTGTACGTATCCTACGGAACAGAGATCGCCATGCGTTAGAATATTTTTCAGCCACGGACCAGTTTTTCCCGTCGCTTCATGAACATAGCTTCACGCTTCGGCGCACCCGTTGGCCGAGTGCTGCCACGCGAACTTTTTTGCAGTTGAAATGTACACCCAATGTCCAACTTACACAACGCGCTTCTAGATTACTGATTAATGGACACTGTTCACATGAAACAGTCAACACTGCTTCAATCGTCTGAAAAGAATTTGTCTGGGAATCAAATCAAAACGCTCCGCTCTTTGAGGCTAATTGATACTGGGGTGGATATGTAGTGAAAGGAAGATGGCGTTCTCTGCGGAGTTATTTATTAGAAAATGCCAATTGAACAGTTACAGACAATTGGACCGGGAAGTAAAACTCTCGTATGCATCTTGTTTACAAAAACTGAATATCCATCTTCTCTTTGGACACGTCTTCCTGAACTTTTCTGGATATTCATAAGCTGTTGCTCAAATCCAAGCAAACGCTACACAGCGACTCCACAAATTCCGCAATAGATCTCACTTTTCAAGAGACGCAAAGTAGATTTACAAGAAAACATACTACTTGCATGCCTCCCCCATCAGTAGTATCACCGTTACAGTGGTATACGACGTCCACAGATAAACTGGTTAGAAAGCTGTGCGATGAAAGCCTATGTTTAGCCGCTTTGCGCCTCTAAAACCAAGATGTGATCGACTATTCACCATCATCAACAGCACAACATCAGTGTTCAATACATGCCTCGCTACCGTACAACCATAATTTATTTGAAAGCTCGATTCTGAAGAAAATAATTGAACTGGATGGCAAAGGAACTGAAAATGTACCGGAATGTTAGTGATTGGAGGGTGTGCCCATTGGTGGTTGGTCAGGTGGCTGTTGATCCGTTCGCCGAACTTGGCAATTAGCTTGCAAAAGTTTCATCACCAACTGAGGTGCGAGCAGTGATGATGCATTGCGAGCGATGTGACCTAGAAACGTGCATGTCTCAACATAACGTCGACGCCAGGGGCTGATCTATCTTAGTCGATGTTACTGGATGGAACACCATCTCTAAATGAGTTTCACGGTATAAGTTGGCTATTTTCGCCCGGGATGCGAACCCCTATCGGAACTAAAGACCGGTCTGCAACTGAAAGAGATTTGGAGATGCTTGGATTAAAGAAACCGTAATTGTCCACATGTTGCGCCATGGGCGTCTATTGGTTGCGAGCGCGTACAACGGGCTTAGCTCTAAAACTGCACGGCTAAACCTCAGTCGTCTGGCCGAGGAGTGTGATTGGGGGTGATAAGGCTCAGCGGTTAGAGCGCGGAATTTACTGACCGGAAGGTCCATGGTTCGAACCTGACCTCTGCCTCTCGACTTCCCTTGTCCAGGCTTGGGCAACCTGGCAGTATCCCAGCCCTCGTGCTTCGTTTGGGTGGCTAAGCAACGAAGTGTTACGGCTGAATGATATCAGGCAGAGTGGCAATTTTGAGGAAACTATTTATTTTGATCAGTTGGAAAGTTACGGTTTCATAACGGCTTGGAAAACAACCAACCAAGCAATGAAGACGAACATGTTTGGGGACCAGAGCGGCAACACTTACTTTACTTGATAGCTCCGCCGCTTCGTTGAATTTCTCTAATCCACAAACTTTCAACAACGATGCATCCGGTCCTCGGAGTTCATCCACAAACCGCATTATCAAGTCCGATTCGGTCAAACGATCACCTCTGTTCAACAACAGCGGTACTTTGCCCGACGGCGATAAATTGGTGAACCACTCTGGCTTATCATACAACGAGACCAGGATTTGTTCGTACCTAAAGGTTAGGAAATGTATAACGACGGCGATAACGCAGAGTTACATGGGAGAAAAATAAAGTTCTTTCCGATTCAGCGACCATCTGAATGGATTGCCTACCACGTGGAAGGTGAGCTAGTCTTCTGGTCGGCTTCTCAGGTGTTGAAAACTGAAGTGACTGGGATATTCGTACCGTAACTATGATACTTCCGTTCAGTTGTCATCTAGGTCGCTGAGCCTATAAGCATCCGCCGTACAGCACAGCAAACAAATGATTTGTTAGTGACCTCATCCTGGGAACCATTGACTGTTTCGAATTTCCCCGGTAACCTACCCCACCCCCCTGTAAATCTATTCAAACATCCTTCGATTCACATGTTGTTTCCGTTAGTGTTTGTCCTCCTGCTTTGTACGTATTTTGACATTACCGGTTAGTATTCCCTCAGGCACAGTCAGGTCATAGTTATTCTCGAGATCTAATAGGAATTTATATAAAAAAAACACAACTGAATTTATTCTGTGGTCCGCGAGATCCAACAGATGTTGAACGCCAACAGGCTGTCGTCTGGAGCTCTCAAACGGTACACAAAAGCGTGAATGGGTGCCCGACTCCCGGGAATCTGAGTTTCAAACCCAAAGAATGTCCTCTGTGGGATGACAATCGCCACGGGAGTGATCACTTCTGCAGAACAGAAGAAGATTGGATTAACCCATTCGTTGCCTGTTCCCCTCGAGAGTGTACACCTGCGACAGGAGCACGATACTGTTGCCCAGAAGCACGAGACTCGCGCATCAAATTTCCTAAAATAACCACGTCGCGCCACACCGTAGGCCAGCACCGCACCAAAAATCCTGGCATATCCTCGATTAATTTACGGCTAAATCCAGAATTGCACAAACGGAACACCTATAAGGAACTTAAAATTACCCGGCTATTCAAAACCGATATTCTGCTTGCCAATGGAAGTAGCTTTACCTCTCCAAACTTGGGAGCGAGATAGCCCAAGTGGTTAGAACGTGAATTTACTGATTGGAAGGTCCGTGGTTCGAACCCGATCTCTGCCTCTCGACTTCCCCTGTCTAGGCTTGGACAACCTGACAGTATCCCAGCTTTCATGCTTCCTTCGGGTAGTAAGGCAGCTGGGCACCGAAAGGGCGCTACAGCTGAAGGATTTATTTATATTTCTGATATCAAACCAGTTGGAATGAACAGCCCGGTGTCATCTGTTTGCCCAGTGGCACAGCACACCCCGCCTAACACTGTTAAAGCCTGTCTGATTCCAATGGAAAGCAAGTTGTACCATCCACGCAAAAACGCGGCACGAGCGTCCAGTTTATTTTCCAAGGGACATAGTGGTGCGAAAGGACACACCCATTTTCGGGGGGAAATTCAGTTCCCTTTCAGATGTTATTGGTTCCATAGGGGCGACCGAACCATCGGCCCATCGCAAAGTCGGTGTAGGAGTTAATACCGGAACATTTGCTAATCTGAATGCCGTCGTTGCGCAAGTTCTATACGGCATCCTGGCATGTTATTCGGCTCACTGTGACATCTACGGACATAATCCTTGCTGTGACATATGCAGACTGCTACAGCTGTATTCATAGAGTGTCCACAAGGTCAAACTAGAATCTCCGTGATGTGACGAGGAGCATCAAGCTAGTCGGTTCGATTTTGATTGGCCAATAGTCTAACAAACAAGGGCGTGCCTTCCTCTGGACTGTGGCAAGTCCCTTATATATCGGATGAATTGAGGTGATCTCCGGCTATTCCGAGTGATCCAACTCCGGACACTGGTATGACTAACAGCAGTCAAGCCTTGCCGCAGCAAATTTCAGCAAAAAGCCTATATAACCTGCGAAGCTCTTCCACACAATGTCAACGGAACTCTTTATCTACAAGACTATTTCAGCAGTCCGGATTGGAGACAGTCCATGTCTGATATTTTGTGCCAAAATTTTCAAGGTTTTTGATTTTTTCACATAACTACTGCAAAAACACTGAGTCAAAAGTACTCAACAGAGAAATGCAGTGTTCACGCACCCAGCTAGTGACTAGATTTTTTGCAGTACCATCAGGCTCCGTAAATGAGCGCACGATGCATAACATAGATAGTAGTTACGTAACAGTTTATCGCAGCCCTCATAGATTGCATGTACTTTTCAGTACTAAAGAATTTCCTATGGAAACACTAAGAGTGGAGTCACCGTAGCTCTAAAAGCGGTTACGTACGCAGCAACAACGCACCATCTGTGTTGAAAATCACTATGCATGTGACCAAGATACCAGAAACAAGGAAGAGACAGAATACCAAAGATCAACTCTGCTCACTTATGCACAACATGCCATCTGCCCAGATATAGTTACTCTACAGAACCGTGAGTCGTACTTTTAAAGTAAATTAGCTGCACAGGGTCATTAGTAGCTACAGTAAAATTTGTTGAATCACACATGGCAGCATATGAATTGGGAGAGAATAAAAGTCACATGACCCAGCACCACAGATTCCGCACAGCTAGAGATGTTTCAGTCAGTCAGAAGGCGATGATCACAAACAACAGAAACCGTTTGTGGCTGGGATGAGAATAGAACAAGGCCACTAAGGTCTGTTTCAACCCACAGATAAACGACCGAGTGCACTGGTGCCTTAAAAGTGCAAGTTATCGACGGTGATTTCGGAACGGTTGCCTCCATCTATTTGATGGGGGCATAAAAATCCGGCCACCACCTGGTTGGAAACACACGAGATGGCTCAGTGGTTAGAGCACGAATTTGCTGACCGAAATGTCCGTGGTTCGAATCCAACTTCTGCCTCTCGACTTCCTCCGCCCAGGCTTGGGTAACATGGCAGTATCCCAGCCCTCTTGCTTATGGTTGCTAGGTTCCGGAAGGTTTCTACAGCTGAACGATTGTTTTTTATGGAAATACATCTGGTCAAAATTATGGCATCCTTGGTTCCGCCTCATTTCCAACTACTCGATATGTGTGATTACAAAATCATTCTTATGTCTAGGAAAGTTCGGTTTCTGCCTGGTCTCAAAATTGCCTGTTAATCTACAAAGTTGGGGACATGACAATTCGAAAAGTTCTTTGTCCAACAATGCATAAATTTGACACTTTCTAAGTGGTGCTTGTGGGCTAGGTATTGAAGTGTCTGAAACCAGAACAGACCGCAGTCCATCACATTAGTTCTAGCTTTTCAGTGTGCTCGTACGCCTGAAGACCGCAAACAATAAGGGTGGGATACCTTAAAAGAGTTTTCATCAATTCCGAATGGAAAGTCAAACAGCCTTTCCTGTTTTCGGCTCTAGGGTTTCGAAGATATCAATGTGGAAACAGTCCGTAGCAAGAAACGACTACAATGTCGTTATCGTGTTAAGTTGTGGTGACAAGAGATGATTCGTCAAACATAACATACCGGTTGGACCAACAAACTGAGATAAATACATCGAATCAGACTCATGAAAAACTCACTCAATCTTGTGATAGTTCAAAGTCAACCGGACACGGTCACAAAAAGGACAAAATAGGAAACCCAAAAGAGTGAATTTGTTTTCGTCAACGCTTGGTTCCGGGTCACCTGCATAGGGAGAAGTGAGTCGGGAAATTTCAGAGATAGCAACATTAAAAACCCACATGAAGTGGTTGCGGGCAAAAATACCGTTTGTTTTGGATCCCAAGGGTAAAGACAACTCCTGAAAACAGGCGAGAAGGGGATCATAGTGTTACAATCATCAAAATGTGTTGCATACTTCTGGGACAAAAAGTTGGTGACAATTTTTCTCAGTAGAGGACATTAGAACGGCAGCGGTGCAAACTTTCATCAAGCTGAATCGATCTCTTCAGTGAATCAGACTAGAAACTGGCCACCTGTGGGCATCGACTGAGAAACGACTGGCCAGAAGGTCAGTGGTTGAAACCTTACCCCGGTTGTTCCGTAGCTCGGATCTATGCTTTGGCAACCCGGCAGCTGGGTACCGAAGGGAGGAAAGATAATTTATTCCTTGCGCTTTTAAAATTCACCTAAACCAAAACGCCAACATGTGGCACACCTTCGGTGCATAACTAGTCAACAACCCAAAAGATGGTACCTAAATGACAGGATTGTCTATTACCCTCAGTGAACATCACATTCCTAGTTTGTATATCCACCGATTTCACACCACATATCTTCGCTTTGTAGAAGGGGCAAACCAGCCACCAGTATCACTCTCCTCGCCTAGCTTGATTCTGTGAGCCTCGTCCAATAGGAAAAAAACATTAGATTTCTGAAGTATGACTCCCTCGCTCACCACTATTGGACTGGGATACATTCGAACACCAAGTGATCGAAGAGGCTGCCTCCACCCATCACCTCGAACCAGCAGGACGTGACTCATTTACACGAGCCTTTCATTCCTTCAGACCCTGAACACAATAGAGCTGACACGATATCTGACCTATCTCACTCCTATCTCCAGAGTCACCGGGTCCCTTAGCTACTATATGGAACCTACTTCGAGACGCTAACAGAAGAATGGCGAATTCCTCTGACATAACATAGAAGAAGTACTTTTATTGGCGTATTCCTGGGGCCACGAGCCTATGGCCACCTAATATAACTACATATATCGTCCGTTCCGAAGGAATTTAACTGTTTCAGCACATTCATGTTTATTGGTGAAGAGAACAATATGAAAATTAACTTTTCTTTGGAGAAAACTACTCATACGGTTGGCGAAAATCCTTCGAAAACCTACGGACGGTTTCGCCCTTTGTGGGGCTCTTGAGGTAAGCGCAGTCGCCGAGTTTTTCTCAACCCTATATTCTAATTGAACCCAAACTGCACGACATACACTCATTTACGCATCAGTTTGGTTTTAAAGGGAGATTCAACTGAATTCCGACCGTCTGCTGACTGGAAGGCATCGACTAATGGTGTGAAGCATAGCGTCACATTTCCCATGCAACGGTACTTTCTGCGTTCATTTATGTTGCCCTTGCACACACACACAGCTAATTTTGCGGCCATAAACCTCAAAGTTTCATTCTGCCAATCCTCGTACGCTGACGAGAAAATCTTTTCACGAGTAGTTCTGTGTATGATCCTGAGCCTCTATTAGTATTCTGTAACGGACATACGAGGTCACACCATATTGATTTGTTATTGTAGGGTAGGCGCCAGTTACATCGATATTCACTGTAACGGCGCCCTCATCTGACCACACCTCCGGGCTCTTGAAAAAATCATTTCCAATGCGACCCCATTTTCCCCCATGCTATACAGTATCCATTTTTAGGATCAACATATCACATGCATTGGTGTATTTTCGACCAGGAAGGCGGGTCGCATCACGCTCCGCCATCGTGTAGCATTCGTGTATTGACCCAAAATCTGTTGAACCGACAGAAACGTTGGGTGCATAGATGGTCCAAAAGCAGATTTGCATGACTATCGCGAACAATCGTCGTTGAGCATGACACAAAGAACACACACTCTCCACACAGTCATCACCATCATCAACAACAGCGTGACACCAGTGTTCAACACCGAAGCTTCACTGCCGCACACTCCACACGGTATCACACTGCCTACCTAACGTCTTGAATGAATACATTTAACCGAATACCACTGCCTTAATTCAACCACTTGAAAGTGGTATAAGCAAACACATCAGGCACTGATCTCCCACAAGTCACATAAGTAGACTTATTCCCATGCACTTCCGGAACTACACCTTTGAGATTCCTTTGAGATCCTTTGGGATTCCGTTCTGCAAAATTCTAAGGGGTCATGTTACCTGAGAATCAGCGTTGCTGTAATGCAGCGAAAGGTGCTAAGGTATGTGAGAAAGGCGATCCAAATGGGTCGCGCCACCATTCAAAAAGAATGCAGCTCCTATATAATGACGGTACAGTAGCGTCATCGTATAATCTGAGACAGGACGACATGCTATTCGAAGAGCATGATCAGATAAGGCCAACGAGACCCAACTCGGTAATACCAGCTGGAAGAGGCTAAAGCCATCGTATGCATCCCTAGGCCTATCAAACGGCTTACGACGTTTTTCAGACAAACATTTTTTATCGATTACGGCAGTGAAGCATCGGTGTTGAACACTGATGTCATGCTGTCGACGGTGATGATGATCGATTACGAAAAAATATGTATTTAGTGAGTTGAGTGCCATCACGCCCAAAGACACAGCAACTCATGTTGGGTGTTTGCTGTTCAGTAACAGGTCTGCGAGATGCCATTGCGTCGAATTCGGTCACTTGTACGTTTTGCTTAAAACTGATGCTGTGGTTACAACGTGAATGAACTGTAACCCGAAGATTTCTCATGGAATGCGTGTCCAAACCGCAGGTTGGTCAGTGCGAAACAATAGTGTTTTGAAACAGAGGTCGCTATGAAAAGCACATACCTAGGTGCAACTTAACTGAACGACATCTACTAGCGCTCGCCGTTAACGAAAGCTTACGCTGTACCCATGCTGCAATCAGAATTGCGTGCTGTTTTTCTTTAAAATGCATGCAACCAACAGCTCTACCCTAGCTCCACTGCAATTAAGCATCTTTTTCAGTAAAAAACAAACACCAAAGTCACCCAAAACAGGCATCTTATCTAAGGCTTAACTGTTTAACTTCGGGGCGCAGATCTGTCCACAAATTGTGTGCTTACGCTACACGCAAAGAACGGAGAAGGCGGCCGAATCATGACACAGAGGACTCCGTGAGAATCAGTAAGAGTCCTGAGATCAACTTATTCTCTTCTGTTTATAAAGCTTTATTTATTCACACATTTTCGCTTTTCATACTACATCTCCTAGCTACCTAAAAAAGCCCACCGTAGAGTTGTACGGGGTTCTGAGTAGCTTCTGCAGCCTAAGGAATTCGCTTCGAATTCACCTGACCCACGCACATTGATTATATGTGGTATACACACTGAACAACTACGCTCAACGATTGCTCGAGACTGCTCACACTGAGCCCCAGAATGGATGGGTTCGAGGCAAGTGAAGTTGAAAAGTTTTGCTGGACGGGGTGAACAACAATCCGCCAAGAGGCCACTTCACAACAGGGGCCTCTTCCTAGAGAATCCATGACAGCATTTACCATCAATCAGTAACTATGCCGAATGCTCCGAGGGTAAACCACCTCCAGATCGATCACATCAAGGTTCTGTTTCGTTTCATACAAATCCCATCCCCGCTAAAAACAGGTTCAACTACCAATAAACTTTAATCCACTGAACAAAGTAATCAACAAGCAATATTGCGGGGTCACGCAGGCCTATTTTTGTGAAATCGTCAGAGGCTACTCCGTCAACAAAAATATCGATGGCGAAAGACGATAACTTGAACACATCATGAGCTCACCTGCTTTAAGATGACGTGACACTGTCCCTGCATCTCCCAGATAGCACATTTCCACGGTAAACGAAGTTGGCTAATGTCAAAGCTAAAACATACAAATTCGACTATTGTTATCAAACGAAGGCAATGAGGGAAATTGCATGTTAGTATAAAATAGAATGCTAAAAAACCCGGTACTAATCTCCTCCTTCCGTCTGCAAACAAATTCCGGTTACATATAAGGGTGTTGAGAGAACTTACATTCTGAAGTGAGGTACCAGACAGCATTTAGTATAAACTTCCAATGTTTCTGTGACCAAGATTTGGGTCTTCGGATCTTTATTACTACCATCACCCTGACCAACTGAAACAGCCATGATCAGCTACAATGCTTTAGTACAATATTGAAGCTTTGGTTTAACAGTTAAGCCGTTTCCAAAGCGATGTGCTAAATTCAAGTCCGGTGAGTAAATGACTTTACGATAACTTCGGTCCCCATCTATTCGTCTGAATGAAGTGACCAGTATGCTCACTGGTTGTGGTGACCATCCCGGTTCGGCCATTTGTGACTATTGGTATTCCTGCCATCATTAACGTTGGTCATGCTACATGGCATACGACGGTGGATCAGTCCCTCGTCGTGCAAAATCTGAGATTTCCTGAGCGAACTGAACGTACATGTTGAACTACACAAGTCGTCCCCACTTTAATCGTCCACTGAATGTGACGCAATCAGGGTCCCCTAGACCACGAGTCAGCTCCAGAAACCACGTATGAGGAAGCTGGAGTCCGAGTCAAGGACCACGAGTCAGCTCCAGAAACCACGTATTAGAGGAAGCTGGAGTCCGAGTCAAGTGTCTCCACAGACGACAAAAATTTAACCAATTTAAAAGCGAAAACAGAGCCAGCCCGCTACTCTGGGGTCATAGCTCGGGCCATCCATAACGAAAAGTTACCACATATGCAAGGCAACAGGGAGTGACGGAAGATCAACGCGACGATGACGTGCTGCAAGCTCGTGACTTTTCGCTGACGAGTTGACTGATAACGGCAGCCACCCGAAGGCATGACCGAAGATTTTAACGGCGGGATTGTCTAGAATCGCTTGGTTCCAAATAGCAAAACGCTAAAATCCCATGAAGATGGGTCCAGCGAAACTACCTCAGGGCTGGTGTACCTATCTACATAGACAGCCAGTGGAAGCTAACTGAGGAGCAGACCTGCGAGAGAAAGACTGAGTTTCGATTGCAAGCCAGGCGAGCACGTGAGAACCAACTGTCTCGGAGTTCGGTGGGATTCCACACCGATACTGCCCTACGGCTCGCCGTTGGGCGGTGCTACGGCCAAAATACCTATCCCGCAGAAGACTGGCTGGTCCACCAAGCCACCAAAGGCCACAAGTGGACATGGATAGAATGCCAACGCACCTTTGACCCTATCAAATCCATGCTGAGTTCCGATTTTCTGCCCATCCACTGCAATCCATCGCTGTAAATTGTTGTGGCGTCGGATGCTTCGAACTGAGGAACTGGCGCAGTTATTTCGCATCTATTTCTCGACGGCAGCCAGAAAACCACTGCACATGCAGTCAGAGCCCTGACATCAGCTCAGCGCAACTACAGTCATATAGAAAATGAATCTTTGGCGATCGTGTTTGCCGTCAAAAAGCTTTAAGGCCGTTAGTTAACCTAACAAACCGACCACAAACCACTCCTTGCTGTGTTTGGCTCGAAGAAGGGAATCCCGGTGCATATCGCTGACCACCTCCAGCGATGGACCACTCCGCCTCTGGGATACGACTTCAAGGTCAACTACCAGTCCACCACGAGTCTCGGACAAGCCGACGCACTGTCGCGACTCCTTGATTCAAGCAAGCCAAAACCAGAGGATACTAGTCGCAACAATTGCCTTGGAAGCGGAAGTTAACCGCGTAGTATCTGAAGCGGTTCGCCAGGCTACCGACCAAGACCCTGTGCTGCGGCAGGTCATCGAAAACCGCCGCAACCAATGGCCGCGCACCTGCCCAAGAGACTAATTGGCACCTTACTTAAACCGGCGTAAGGCATAATCACTGGCCAACGGATGCCTTCTATTTTCAGTACGCGTTGTCATCCCAAAGGGGAGAGATGGTCCAAGTGATTAGAGCGTGAATTCACTGACCGGAAAGTCCGTGGTTCGAATCTGACCTATGCCTCTCAACTTCCCCTATCTGGGCTTAGGTAACCTGGCAGTATCCCAGCCCTCATGCAACCTTCGGGTGGCATGGCAATTAGGACCGAAAGGGTGCTACAGCTAAACGATTTTTTTCATACCAAAGTAGTTACAACCCGCCAACCGGGTCACATTCATAAAGGGCATCCGTAAAAAACACGATAAATACCTCTGCTCGGAGTTACGTCTACTGGTCTTTGGTGGACTCCCAGATTGAGCAAATTTCCAAATCTTGCCTGCGGTGTGATGAACCATCTAGGTCACCCGCGAAAACCTACCGTCCAAAATGCGTCCAAAACCGGCCGAACCCTGGTCACGTCTTCACATCGACTATGTAGGTCCAGTTGCCGGCCAACACCTTTCAATGGTGGTCGGTGCCGGAAATTTTTCCAGTGAATAGCCCCACAACTGCCACTACAGTCATGTAACTCCGACGATTGTTCAGTCATCATCATCACTATCATTATCATTATCATCATCGTAAGCTGTAAGAATCACGTACTTGTCGTAGTGGTTGTAGCTGCCACAGTTTCCTTCACCGATGATTTGGGGAGGTGAGGTAGATAGCTGCGCACTGGAGGCGGGAGCTTCGTGCGTCAATACAGCACTGTCAGTGGACTGTTAAGTGGGAAGGGAGCTATGCATCGAAGGCAATAGCTCGGATGCACGAGCGTCATTGAGGGCGCGACTGAGCCATGTCTGACAATGTCTCCAACCATTGATGTGGCCCGTCTCGGGGTCCACATCCAGGAAGATGTCCATGACCAGCGTAGGTTTTATACTTCGCTGTCAAGTCATTGTTCGACCGCTTCTGGCCCGTTTCCACCTCTCACGTCATTGTGAGAAAAGAACCCTGGGAGGACGTCGGTCGACTGGCATACGCAGCACGTGACCAAGCCACATCAACAGGTGCAGCTTGATCAGTTCAGTTATCGAGAGTGAGCTATTTCTTCCGAACACCATTCGACGTACTTCAGCACTGCTGGCCCGGCGTTCCCACCAGACTCGGGAAATGCTTCGAAGACATCGATGATCAAACACTGGAAGTATTTTAAAATTCTCAGTGCACAACAGGCAGATTTCTGATCCGTATAGTAGTATGGAGCGCATCGCAGCATTGTAAACGCGACCCTTGGCGGATGAGCTGATGTCACGCCTACACCACAGGTGACGCAAGTTCACAAAAGCTGCTTTGGCCATCCCAATCCGGATGGGAATATCATTCTTCGCGAGACTACCGGGACTTATATAAAAAATCGTTCAGCTGTAGCGCCTTTTCGGTGCCTAGCTGCCATGCCACCCGAAGGAAGCACGAGGGCTAGGATATTACCAGGTTGCCCAAGCCTAGACAGGGGAGGTCGAGAGGCAGATGTCGGGTTCGAACCACGGACTTTTCAGTCACTAAATCCGCGCCCTAACCACTTGGTCCATCTCGCCCAGGTAAACAAACCCAAATCGGTTCATCCGCAAGCAAGAGGCTAGGGTTTGAGCCCACCCAGTCTTACACTAGCACTTCATGCTTTGCAGTTGTGAAGCCGCCGAACCGCGGGGCGGAAATATTTAGACCATTTAATATTGTTTGCATCACCACGGGGTTATGTCCAAGAATAGCCATTTCGCCCGCGTACTCGATATCTGTGAGCGGACCTCACAACCATTAGAGGCTGAAAGTGATTTTTCCTTGGTTGTACCAATGACGGGTGGAGGAGGTGAGCGGACCTCACAACCATTAGAGGCTGAAAGTGAGTCTTCCATGGTTGTACCAATGACGAGGTGGAGGAGGACAGCCGTCTGAAACCACTTGATGTGGTGATCTCAGAAGAAAGCTCCCCATAGACCTTCACGCGGCCGCGGGAGTTGGCGTAACGCCTTACGGAGTGTCAATAAGTTATGGGGGACACCTTTGCTACACGGACACTGCCATAGTGCCTGACGGTCCAGAGAACCAAAGGCAGCTTTCAGACCAAGAAACACAACCATTGTTGCTTGCTGGAAGCAGTGTCGCTGTCCCAGAATTTGCCGGAAAGTGAAGATATGATCTATGCAACCTATTGCAGGACGGCACCCAGCTTGTTTATCATATATCTGTCCTTCCCTGTGTTCAGTCAAACTTCGAAGGATGAGAACAGGGAGCATCTTCGATGCAATAGTTAATAGGCTGATGCCACAGCGGTTTTTACACAGCGTTCGCGCATACTTTTTGAAGATAGGCAGGCACCTCTTCTACATTCTATATAGCACCAATAGCTTTGTCAGATGGATAGTAAGGGATATTCCGCCTTCTTTGAAGAGGTCTGGATACAGACCGTCCGGCCCGGGTGCCTTCTCATGTTTTAGTACGGATATTTCGTACTTTGCTTCTTCTTCCGAAGGGCGATCAATGTTTACATTCCATTCGCCCGTATGCATTATCTTCACAGGCTGCGCAGAACTAGGCCAGCTAATCTGCTCTTCGAAGTGTTCGGTCCATCTTTTAAGTCGACAATTTAGCGAGCGAATTAATGAGCCATTTTTCACCTATCGTTTTACTGACCGTTGATTTCCTAGGGTCAGTCGATCGTATCAGTTGATATAGGGCACGGCTGTTTCCCGTAGAAAAGGCCTTCACCATCTCTCGAGCTTTCAATGTCTACCAGAGCTCTCGGTCTTTTCTCAGACTCTTCGCTACTCGGTGTTCAAGGGATTTGTGCGCTCCGTCGTACTCGTTGTCTGTTGGTATTGATTTACTGGCACCGATTATGGGTAGCGATCTCGTCAACATCCAATGGTCTTGTGGTCGAGTCGGAGATGTCGGAAAGAAAGTACTGAACGCCATCGAAGCTCCTTTCACATTTGCCACGCTTCATTTACATGCTCAACGCCATCACAATATTGGTTTACTGTGGAGGGTTGTGGGACTAGCCCAGATCGATACAGTTGAGCTATCGTCGTTCTTCGAGGAATGTGGCAATTGCCAAGCTTGTTGCGAATTTACGATGGCATGAAGGGGGCGAACTATCACTGGGGCGCACATCATGGCGTGATCGGAATCAAGTGGTATGCCCAACTAAATTAAATTGCATCTTAGATTAAATTAAATTGCACCTCTCCAACGACGTAGCCTGGAAAATGTGACACCTGATGCGCAATTGATAACCGGCATTCGGCCAGTATTGGATCGTGATTGGCTGTTGGGTCCAGGCTTTCGACCAATAAGGACTCAGCTAATGCCTTACAGGCAAGCGGCCTGAACTTTTGGTAAATTTGCGGGATAGGCATCTCGGAGATAGCGGCGCCTAACTGCGAACGGTAAATCGGTATTGTTGGGAATTTCGCCTGACACCTCCCCCTTGAAGTTTGTTGACGTAGCTTCGGCCCCGGGGCTTCACTTGCAGTGACTTCATAGTCTTGGGGATCCTGTTTGTCCAGCGTCGCGGTTGTGGTGAGTGATAATTCTAGGCCTCCAACGGAACAGCTGTTTGATTTTCTAAGATGATGCTGGAATCAAGTGTCCATAATAATCACTAGACTCAACTCACTGGGTCCCGTGGGCAGGATCTGCGCACCTCTTAGTCAGATTTGGTTTGTATGCTGGCACGGCCAAATTGAATCTCGTACTTTGCCTTGCCGCGCCGGCGAAGGATGAGTCCTGAAATCCATGTAGTGTGTCTGCCGCTGTAGTCGTGAACCAACACTGTCTGTTTTTCGCTGAAGAAGAGTGCGCGTTATCCATGAATCCGATCGAAATGTTGCGACGACTAAACTGCCTTTTGTGTGGCCAGATAGCGTCATGCCGTGTTCGAAGCATTCGCCTGAGTGGTGTCTCTGCTGGTGACACTCCATCAGGCGAGTTGGGGTTCGGTGTCTCTTACTATGCGAAAAGGAACCTTTACAAAATGTCCTCCGCTCGCCCTTCCCCTTTGGATTTCTGAAGTGCACAATTCAGCTTGTTAACGAAACGTTCCGCCTGGCCATTTGACTAAGGATGGAACGACAGCAAGCGGACATGAATTATGCCGTACTCCTGACAAACCCCTGTGAATGCCGATAATGTGAACTGACTGCCGTTGCCGGAGACGATAATCTCTTGGTGCTCCAAATCAAGTGAAAAATCGTCCAGACCTATGGCTGCCAATTCGACGCGGTGGTGGGGCTTGTGTGCTGCAATGATCCCGCGGGCTACACTGACTGAAATATCGTTCCACAAGGTGCGACCATGCCAGGAAGGCCAAGGGGCAGCAGTCAGACTGCAGGCAAATTATCCAATGCAGTCGAAGTACTTTTAAAACGAGAGTCCCGTCCTGTCCAGAAGGTATCTGCTGTGCGCAGCCGCATCGGTAATGAGACAGGGATGCCTTATTCCCTGCGCCCTCGGTTAGACCAACCCCCTACAGCCGAGCAGGTCAGAATGTTGAGTCATCGGCCCCGGGCAGCCTCCGCTGCCTCGTGGGTAAAACTTTTGAGTCAAGGCTCAAGATGTGGTACCTTGACCACACCCCCGTGCTCGGCCTGGGCAACCGAGAAGTATCATTCCCCTTGCAGCTCTTCGCTTTCTGGCCTTCTCCGTCACCCCCCAACCCGTCATACAGTGCAGTGCAATCTGTTATTCCCCTAGACGCTGTTCCATCCATCGCGCAGAAAAATAAATCAAAATAATCACCCACTAACCTCAAAAGATCTGATCCACGTTGAAGCCTTCAATGTCTGTACTATAGGTCAGATTAGGAAAAAGGCATAATAATGTTTATTTCGCAACTTGTGGGTGGCATACCTTCGGGCATGATCATGCGTTTACAGTCAGAATGGGGCATGTGACTGGGGGATTTGCGGCTAGTGGGGATTCCG